AAAAAAGTATTTTTGCACATTCTTGATATTTTCACTTCACTCTCTTTTAGTAAGTGTAAAGCTGAGCGTAAGAAGTACAGCACATTTTCGCCAAGGAAGGTTCTGCAAGTGTAAAAATTGGAAAGCAGAACAGAAAGCCCGCCTCCAGTTTGGAAGTAAATGATTGAGAGTTTGGGGGGGGAGGGAGGGAGTTTCTGTTTAAATGTGGAATACAAAACCTTCACTTGAGTAAGATGCTAGATGCATCCCATCCCATTTTTAAGAGATAGATACAGACATATATAACAGATAACAGATACATAGATATACATGTTTGACTATCTATCAACCTCTGCTTAAACTGCTGCCACTCATGACCCAAGTCAAGCTGTGGACCAGCCATCGCAGATATCAGCACTAACAGTCAAAGATCGCCTAAACATGCTTAACATTTCAGCTTTCGAACCGTGTTTCTTTTCATCACGTAAAGAAGATTTTTAAAAGTGATAATTTAACAATCACACTAAGGAAAATTATTCCAGGAAAAATGCCGCTTCACTAAAAATAAATAAATAAATAAATAAATAAATAAATGAAAAAAATAAATAAATAAATGAAAAAATAAATAAATAAACGTACGTATCTCCTAAATCTGCAGAAAAAGATAACGTCGTCACGTGATCTGCCATGCAAGCATGTGCAGGCACCGATGAGGTCATAGAGGAGATAAATTATAAATTATACCAAGGTTTATTTGCACTCGCTTGCCGACTACGCGTGGAAATTTGGCTCAACAGTTAAAGTGTAGAGGTTTAGCAAATACAACATCTGCCAGCACAATCTGTAAATGTAAAAACATGATAAGACGTTCTGAGAATAACTGAAAGTCTTGGTGAGGTTTAGAGAAGTAAACTACTTTTTTTTTTTCTTTAATCCCACACAGTGACCCTCTCCAGTCTAATGACAGCACAGCACTGAGATCTTATCTTCTCATCCTGTTGACACCTTTCACAAAAGTGGTGTGACGGCTTATCTGTATATGGCGAGGAGAAACGCGGTTTATGTGCATGGAGGAAACTGCGCAGAGCTGTTTTCAACGGACTAAAAACCGCACTCTAAAATTTGTGTCTGCCTGTGTGCATGCGCCTTTGTGCGTCCTCCCACTCCCATGATCTGTAGGGCAAGGGTGATGGAGAGCGTAACTTTCGAAAACAAAACGCCCGTGGCTTAAAACCACGCGAGAGAATAGTGAAAAGGTAAAAGCTTACTTCAGTCCAGTCTAGCAATCATTAATCATTATCTGATCACCAATTAGTCTCTCGGGTTAGGATATGTTGAAAGATCTCCGCAAGTTCGTGTGACATTAAAAAAAATCAATTTCCTCCAATATGTCTTAGACTTAACCAATGAAAACGGCTCACGTCCAAACATTAAAAAACGGAACTTGAACGAGGAGAAAAAAAGTTTATTCTCAGCTTCTCTTGACATCCTCGTGAGCTGTAGCTTACGATACACATATATTTGCTTCTCAGCCAAAAATGTGAAAGTACGAGACCTGCCGAGAAGAGCAGCCTGCCAAATTTAATAGGACGCAAATAATATGAAAATAAGACGGGCGTAAGAGCTTAACTTTCGTTCACAGAGCGAGTCATTTCCATACAGCCGCGAAAGCCTCGTAAACCACGGCAAAACTAAAACCAAACTAAGTTCCAAACACACACACGCGCACGCACACACACACGCACGCACATACACACACAATCAGAGGATGCATAAATCGATCTCGACTGTATGAAATAGTTCCACCTTCTTTGACGCACTCTGACAGCTTTACTAAAAGGTTCACCGGTCCTGCTTTTCTGACTTTACGCACTTCTGCATCACAATCAGTCGTCAGTTGCTTTAAACTGCGAACAACTCTCCTTACCTCACCCGTGTAATCAATGATTTCCACAAAGACTCCATGAAACTTCTAAGAAAAGAGTGGGCAAATCTCTCCGCCGCCCGTGGAGTGGGTCAGTCCAGATGCGTCAATGCCACCAAATGAAGCGACAGCACAGCCTATTAAAAAAAACTGCTGCGCTGCTGGCCCGAAGTCCACGAGGCTTTTAGAGAAGTTAACAAACTGAAGAAAAGACAAAAGGAAGGAGGATGGTCTTTGATCAATAGGCGGAGTCACACCCTCCCTCTATCCACGGCTTGTTTTCTTCACATGTCATGTTTTCTCGCTTTCAGTGACTTTTTGTCTGGCTGCCAACTGTCTGCTGCTACCGCCGAAATTAATTTAAGAGTCGGGTTTTTTTTGCCCCTTTTTACTCCCTGTCAGATAACACAAGTTTGTCAGGTTGACTCTTTCTCACCTTCGCGCCTTTGCCCGGTTCCCATGTCTGAGTGTCAGAATCGGACATGTCAGTCTCGGAGCAATAAAGGAAATCACGTGTTTATAATTTCCCGTTCTTTATCTTTGTGTTGACTTGTATGCAAGTCATTATCCCACAGCACCTCTACGGTTACGTGAACTAGTCACTGCATACTCAACCGTGTAGTGGCACAGAAGACGCCTAAGGTTGGGAACATACATATCTGCAACAATAAAACTGGTTTAAAGACATCCCACTGATGTCAAAATAAACTGTTTTTCCGATTAGACTTATTATGGCAGGATGCATGTATTCTCAGAAATTAAAATAAATAAATATATGACTTGACACAAAGAGAATCCAATATATGTAAATAGCTGCATCTACAAGAAGCGTTTATGGCAGAGGATTGCATGTGTCGATCTCATCCTAATAAAGTTAATGGTTTACTATAATTGACCAAAGTTAAATTCAGGTCAGCCATTACCCCGGGCAGACTTTTTTTTTTTTTAATTTCTTGTCATTACTCATGACTGGCATTTCACCTTTCAATCTAATCAAATGTTTTATAATATAATAAATTTCTATTATATATTGCACACCTAAATTCTTACACTCTCCACTGATTTGACATCTGGATGAGCACATGTCTTGTTGCACTTGCATCATGTCCCTCTTCACCTGTGAGCCAAAGTCTAATTTATGTGTCCCATGGGGTGCCACAGTTTAGTCTAGACAAGTTGGTTGCTTCCACAAGTCCAAGGGGGGTTTCACAGGTACAAAGATGCTCATCAAGGAGCATCTTTATATCTGATGTGAGGAATGATTCCCCCCCCATGGATAATTCCTCAGATCTTCCCGTTTCCTGTTACTATGGCATTACAGCTCTGGGGTAACCAACACAAGCCATCAAGGCAACTCACACATCATCAAACATACAAGGCAACAAAAAAGGGAATATTAAACATATACAGTACATAGCTTTGGGACGAGACATGTGATAGACATGTAAAGCTAGACATGACAAGCATGTTTATAAATAGGTCAGAAATAACTTAGACACTTTTAGAACAACTGCTGGGAGCCAAGTCTGTAAATGATTGCACAGGATGAAAAGATACTGATTGATTTGATCATGTTTTTATTTAAAGAGGCCCAAACGGCTGCCCCTTTATAACAGATAGCTCCGCACAAATTAACTCGCAGTGGAATCTGCAGTTTTGTATTTGTAGTGGGAATTTCCCCGTGTGAGACCTCCCTGTTTTAAATATGCATACATATACAGATATGAATGTTTTAAGATAGAGAATTTCAGTGAAGGCTTTACCAACATGGGTCACGTTTTCTTTACAAAAGGGTTGTATCCCAGATGAAAGAAGGTATACAAAGAAAGCAATAAATGCATCAGCAGTGCGTGGTTGACTCAAATCCAGAAGCGTGTGGGAAATGCTGACTAATTCTTAACTAGTCCAAGTCAGATTATAAAACAGATTACAGCCTTTCCAGGTTTGTGGTCTGTAAGAGAGATTTTAGAGTAAATTCCAAAGCCACCACACACTGTGATTGACATAAGATGTACATCTATAAATTTATCTGTGTGTAAAGTGTAGGAAAGTGTGCATAAATAATACAAAATGTTATTTATGCACGTAAAACACACTCCTGAGTGAATGCGCATGGTGTTTACCACTTTTAAGCATCTCAGAGTGGGTAAAGCAAGCTGTGGTGACACAGGGAGCAGAGCAGGTGATCTCTCAGGATGCAGTTTCTGATGAAACACGCTTAAACATTCCCAGAGGTCACAAACACACACTGAGCCTAGAGACTGCTTGGGTTGCATCAGACACTCGTGTCAGATGTGTTAGTGAAAGTGCATACATATTGACACACAGCCTCACCCTATACTGTGTTGACAGGAAATTTGTGGCAGGAGTCATATGATGTTTAAGTGATATTTTTTCTCCTAATGAGACAGTTAACCTGTGTAATTCTGATACATCACAGCAAAGACAACACTCAGCTTTCAGTAGACAACTACAAAAATGAATCCACATTTTAATAGCTATAGTAACAGGATTAAAGTAACTGAAGTTATGATTGTGTCTACAGTTAATATAACTGTGGTAAAGTTAAATGTTTAAGGTTATGCTTAAATATGTCCCACATATACACTCCCAGCAAGAAATAAATATGGCTTAGGTACATTGGACCTTTTAAACTCAATGAACTGCAAATGTATTTTTACAGCCCCAGGACATTTTAAAACCTCGCTATCTGATGTTTCAAATCGCTCCCGTTTCTGATCCTTCTGGTTTTAAGATTTGCGGACTTGTTATTCTTGCATGCTAGTTTGTCTACTTATGTCTCATGTTTGTAGATGTCTATCTGATTAAATACGGCTGTTATTATATGAAGGGAAGTACTGATTCATTTTAAAAGGTTTGAGCTTACTTTAAACTAAAATTGTACTAATACCAGTTAGTTGACTAATCTTTTAAGTAACTGATACAGCTAGAGTTTAACTGTTCATCACTGCTGAAATATGACAACACACTGAGCTGGTATGTTGCAGAGTCACTTTCTTGCTGACGGTATCGTGTGTACTTACAGAAACTCCTCGGTTTCACCGGCGAATTCTTGCAAATAACACAATAGGTTCAATTGATTGTGATATTTGGGAGCTATCTTTAGTTAAGCATGTGTTAAACTGGCAGCTGGGAAAAAAAATGTTTTTGCAAGTGCAACTTTAGCCATTTCATATCACCTATGTGAAGTTTTCATGATCTGCACCCAGTTCTTAGAACACACTGTTCATTCCCATTAAGCACACCTGCAAGCTGCATGCTCCCCCACAGTGATATCAAGGCCAGGATGACACTCCCCTTGTCAGAATGGCTGATGTAATATTTCTCTAGCCTCATTAACAGAATCAGCCGGCAGCCAATAGCAGCAGGACAGGTTATGGCTCAGGGAAGGATGCTTTTCATTTGGGGAGCCATTCACATCGCTCCATGTGCTGCAACCTCGACAGCTCAACAGTAACAATCCCCTCAGTTATTTGCAAGCCAAATTTCTCTCCAGTCCAACTGGATTTGGAGGAAGCAGGAAAAAAGTACGATAAAATATTACCCTCTACACAGCCTAGAAAAGTTAAAATAAACAGAACAAAAATGCACACACACAAAACACGCAGCATGCAGCTGCAAATTAGAAGAGAGGGTTTCTCTTCAGTAGAGACGAGAGGTATTAATGCTAAAGAGACAAGTTCAGTTTGATGACAAGGAAATAAAGAGACTTCCTAGTGCTGTGTGACCAGGAAAATTTGAGCAGTTCAAAATAACACCATAGATCTTTATGGTAATGAGGGTAATGGGGGAAAAAAACAAAACATAAAATGATAAACATAATGTACAGCATGACGTGGCTGACTTAGATTGCAATACAAAGTATTCTGATCTCTTAAATGGGGGGTAGGCCTACTTGTCCCAACATAACACTAGTCCAGACAACTGCCACCTGCCAGGTGCACTTTCAGTTTATTACAAGTAAGACAGTTGTGTACCGTCTGTTTTCTCTGGACACAATCCAGACCTGGATGTTTCACTTTGTTATGAGATAGAAGGCTTTCACACAGATAAACATGTCGTACACTAATGCGATCCATGGGTTTCGTCACTCTTGCCCTTTGGACATCTTGTAAAAGCATTTGGGGAAGTGGTTCTAAAAAGATCAAACCATCTTAAAGCAAACAAAGAAAATTTCCAAAAATGCACAAACAAAATGAGGATGTATCGTTGTTACCAAGTCAAGGATTTCCGTATCATGACAGTTTTATTTTATGTGGTTCTGCAGTAAAACCAGTCTGTCAAACTGCCTGGTGGGAAAAGAGTTTCTGTTGCCTTGTGTCAGATAATTAATCCCAGAGGCACCAGGACAGCATCTATAGAATGAAATAAGAAGGATGTTGTTCACACTATAATGTATGACATGGCCAGAACATGGATTTAATGACTTTTTGTTTCATGCAATGCTTTTATACTCATTTGCAATTCTATATTTTTCCTTTTGTCATGGTTCCCCATATGACCATCTAAAGAATCTCTCACTATCATACAGAGCCCAGAACAGAAAAGTGCAGTCTGAATCAGCATTATATTTTATCATTTATTTTATATACATTACACACATAACACTTTAAAGAAATATAAACATCTGAATATGAACAACCATATGAACAACCAAGCTTACATATACACACCATGGGCATGAATATTACGGTAATTTTGGGCTTTTTATTATTTTAAAAATTCCCAGAGTGGAATGATTGTTCACCACTCATCTTCAGTGACTTTAAAAAACAAAAAAACAAGAATTCATTTTGGATTGTCTCTTATCCACACAGAGTCAAAATATAAATGCAGGCTCAAATATATACATACACTTACTTACATTTTTTAATAATTGGTGCTGAAGGTTCTACAGTGTCTTAGGTCGACAAAGCCAAGGTCTAATAACTCGTTGTTAGCGACTGATTACATGTGAACAAGCCTTCTGGAAAAAAGTTTTATGGTCAAAGATGTGACAAAGATTGAGACAATAAAGAGTATGTTTGGAGGAGCACAGGTGTGGTTTTCAAATGGACAAACACTGTAGCAACTGTCAAGCATGGTGGTGGTAAGCATGGTGGTGGTAGCAGCATGCTCTAGGGCTGTTTTGCTTCCAGCAATACTGGCAGAA